TGGAGATTCCTCAAAAAACTAAAAATAGAACTACCATACGATCCAGCCATCCCACTACTGGGTATTTATCCAAAGAGCCTGAAGTCAGCAATCCCAAAAGTCCTGTGCACCCCAATGTTTATTGCAGCACTGTTTACAATAGCCAAGACGTGGAAGCAACCTAAGTGCCCATCAACAGACGAATGGATAAAGAAGATGTGGTACATATATACAATGGAATACTACTCAGCTGCAAAACAGAACAAAATCATTCCATTTGCAATAACATGGATGGACCTTGAGAGAATTATGTTAAGTGAAATAAGCCAGCGAGAGAAAGATAATCTGTGTATGACTCCACTCATATGAGGAATTTAAAACTATGGACCAAGAACAGTTTAGTGGATACCAGGGGAAAGGTGGGGTGGGGGGTGGGCACAAAGGGTGAAGTGGTGCACCTACTACATGGCTGACAAACATTAATGTACAACTGAAATTTCACAAGATTGTAGCCTATCAATAACTCACTAAAAAAAAAAAAAGAACTCAAAAAAAAAAAAAAAAAAAAAGCCAAATGGTCAGCAGCTACCACGGCTGCCAGGGGGTTTTCCTTCAGGGAAACCATCTCAAACACTAGCTATCTCCTACACGAATTTTGAGTGTTTTGGACATTTCCTGATTGGCAGGAAGGATGTTTGAACAACTTATTCAAGAGCCCCGTGTTTCCTCTTTTCATAATTGAGCTGATAATATCAACAATTTAGAGCATCTTGGCAACTCCTTGCATTTTGGCTTCAGCCGGGCAATGTATGATGGCATGAGTAATTTGTCATTTCAAGTTCTACCAGGCTCTGCACACAGCAAGGAGCCCAGTGGAGGGGGTGACGTGACTAGCAAGTCTATTTGCCATCAGCTGTAGGGACGCCTTCCTCATCCTGGAAGGTGTGTCCATTGATGATATTACCAGTGACTTGCTTTTTCACATCAGGTTCACTGGTCAATCACTGGGTTAACCATGGCAGAGGAGGGAAATCACTTGAATTTGGCCTAGACTCTTAAGTTAGACGTCTGTAAGTGGTTTCACATTATGTGGGACCGTAAGGCTAATGTTAATACCATCAGGTCTGAGGTGTTGATATGTGTCTCAGAAATTCAAGTCAATTTATCACCCTGAGCAATAAAAATCAGCCTCTGCAGATTGAGGTTTAACATGGGCAGAGTAAGGAGTGGCCAGATTTGTAGTTGGACATTTGAGAGGCAAGGTATTCCCAGAATTCTTTAAGACACAGAGGGCAACCTTGGATAAGGGGTTGGTGCTATTGGTGGGACCAACAGCTAGATCATGGGTAACGGCCCAGGATCTGTAAAGATGTACAGACGAGTTGGATTCTGGGCTAAGTTTCTATTCCTAACATGACTGCTGTTTGTCTGATCACTCTGAGGCTTCAGTCCATTCTTTGATCAAGGATGGCCTGTCTGATGTAGTGACAGAAGGCAGCATCTCTGCAGTGGACTCCGTCGGGTGGGGTGGTGCACACTGTCCATAAAGTTTATGAACACCCTAGTCACACATGTGCTCCTAAGTGACTCTCCAAGTGGGCAGTGTGTCTAAAATGGAAATGATCTCCTCAGAATGGGTCACATCAGAGAAGAACGAAGCACTTCCGACTGTTCATGGGATATTCCAGAGGAGCAATGTTTGGCTCCATGCTGTAAATACCTCTCTCTTCAATGAGGAGGCTTTTGATTAGAAAGCCTGGGGGGTCCTGCATTCATGACTTAAGGCAAAATGGGAAGTTTGCTTGCAGGATCATCCACTCAGGCCCTGGAAGGGACTCCATTTACATAGAGACTCTGTCAGTTGCCAGCAGTAGCTTCTCTAATTGTGTGCAGCACCCTGTGAAGAGAATAGTTCTGGTACAAGAATGCCTTGGGTAATTTATGTCCACCATGGGGGTCTATAGACGCTTGGATGCTCAATGAGAGGCTGCTAAGGCATCTTTGAGAAGGACTGTGGGGAGGGGGACACTAATGGAATGTTATTTCAAAGATTCCACAGCCTTTTGTTTCCCAGGTCAATGTAAGTCAATCTCTAATTGTCGTGTGAATAAGTAAGCAAGCAGATCTGATAAATTTGAGACAGCTGCGTCACTGTGGCTGACAGAATGTGCCCATGACATGGGTTCTACCACTGATTCTGTCACCCTCTCAGCTCACAGTCCCCTCCTGATGCCTCAGAGAAAATGTAGAGACGAGTGGACTTCCAAAGATTTTTCCAAGTAAGCAGACACAGAGTAGGCTTGAGTAGGGAAGTGAAGAGATGGAAATGGTCTATGGATGGCACTGGAAAGAACTGATGCTGACGCACATGGACGAGGATGTCCCCAGGCGGATTCTGCTTGGGAGACACTTTAATGTTTCAGACTGCAGAATTTCCAAAGAGCTGTCCACGAACCTGATTTAGACTCAAAGACAGAGTCTGGGAGCCCTCTCACTTCACTCTGGTTGTGAGTATGAGCTGAGGGCAGGTGCAACCCTAGGGGGTGTTTTCTCAAATAAGACAAGGTTGCAAGAAAGGCCTGTTGAGGACTGAGTCCTTCTCAGTCCTGCAATCTTCCTAAGAAGGATCCCACAGTGGTGGAAAGATTTGACCACACAAAAATCCAGGTTCAGGAGATCTTGACATTCTTCTAGCATATGAAAGCAATTACAGTATTCACTTTCTAATAATTACATATATAACACACATATAAAATACTTAAGTGCTCTCATGAGTCCTCAGAAATGTTAGGAATACTGCCATTAAAAGATGAAAAAATCCCATCACCTCAAAAGAACAATCCTGTGGTGTTCATTTGAATGAAAACCCTCCAATTCATAAGTTCACACTAAAAAAAAAGAAAGGAAAACATCCTGTCCCCTTTGCTGTTTAAACCTGGCAGCTGTTACGGCTGTTCCCCAGTTTTCCACACCATGTGCTGGATGTCTAAGCATACGGAAATGAAACATGTCATCACCTACCTGGGCTCCGGGGCTTTCTGGATCATTGAAATTAAAGACTTCCAGCCACTCCTGTGATGAAAAGATGCTGAGAATTTCCCATTTCTCCTCTTGCACTTAATTAGGATGTTACTAAAAACCAAACCCTCTCTCTGCAGCTCACTCAATTATTCCTGGGACGGTTGCCTCTAACCAGCCAGAGCTCTTTGTGCTGTTTCCACGGGGAGATCACAGCAGACTCACAGAGATGTCACTCTACTCATAGAACTCACTCAGGATGAGCTAGAACAGGGCAGGTGAAGGCAACTGTCTCTCTAAGTGGGAGGAACTCCATGGTTTACTGGGGTGCATGTTGCACACTCCAGTCTGTAGAGGAGCAAAACGAAAATGCCAAAAACGATAACATTTTAAATATTTGATGGTAATATAAAAATCCTCTCAAATGACATTAAAAACAAAAGACAATACAAATACATATGGATTAGATCAACAGGAAGTCTCAAGTCCCAATAATAATAATGACATCCTCGCTCACTCCTACACTCATAGAAAAGATACAAACACACCTCAGCCTACTAGCTTAATGCTATTCTTTAGTTTTCTTCAAAGGCCTTACTTCTATTCTATAAAACAAAGCTTCACTGCGTCCGTCACTTCTGCTTTTCCATAAACATGGAAGCACCAGGACTGCCAGGACTTGTATGTTTCATGCTCTGTATCCAGATCCCACTGTGTCTCAGCTCTGCTACAGTGTGTACACTGACTCCACACTGCATGGCTTGTGGGGGATGCTGAAACGGTACCAGCAAGAGCACAGTCTCGGAGAAGGAAAGGCTTCAGATTGGCACACTGATCCTATTTCCCTGGCTGGGTTTGCATTGACTCACAATTTACCTAAACTCAAAGGCCTCAGCTAAGTCTAAAGGAGATAGTGAAAATATTATGTAGGATTCTAAGAAGAGAAGTTATGTATTTCAATGAGGTACTTCACAATAAACAGTGTCCAATTCACCATAGGAAATACATCAGTGTTTTGATTGTAAGTAGGAAAGGCCAAGCTGTTCCAGAGGACCAGGAACTGGCTGCATCCACTGCAAGGCCAAGTCTTACCCTGCTGAAGAGAAAAGGGTCCAACAGCTTGTTCATTAAAAGTACACCGTTTCCAAGACAAAACTAACAATATTTTGTGACCATAGAGGTAAAAATGATAAAGGATAAAACGCCACGTCATAAAAATGGCCATTTTCCTCCTTCTTATGAAAACGACTGACTGGAACTTCTTAAAAATTAACTTACCTTCATTATGTTGTTTTCGCCTTCTAGAAAATAATGATTTGGTTCACAAAAAAATTTTTTACAGAAGTTGCAATTAAGTTGACCTGCTCACATCATTGAATACAGAAAATAACCTGCCTCCTTGAATTGCAGTCAAATCCACAAACACAGGCCAAAATCTTGTAAGAAGTCCTTTGAGCACTGTTACTGTTACACCTCAAGGTCCTTTAGGTCTGTGGTCATTCTTACTAGAACTCCTTACACCCCTCTCTGACTGCAGGTGCAATCCTGCAGGTCACTGGAAGAGGGCACTGAAGAAAAATATGGTGGTTAATTTTGGGGTTAAAAATGAATGAGAAATTATTTTCATGACAAAATTATAACTGTAAAAGAATAAGAAATACAGTTTAACTGATGAAGAAATACTCAATTGGTCCGCACATGATAAAATTGACTCAAAATGTATAATGATTAGATGAAGAACCTTGCGAAGTATATCTGAAAATCCATAATCATAAATGGATATTAATAGTCTGTAAAAATGAAATCCACAATATTTATTAACATAGGATGGACTGGAACAGTTGATAAAATATATCAATGAAACAACTAGAGAAGTGTTCATTTCGGAAACAGATGGACATAGATTTTAAAGATTTTATTTTCCTTTTTCTCCCCAAAGCCCTCAGGTACATAGTTGTATATTCTTAGTTGTGGGTCCTTCTAGTTGTGGCATGTGGGATGCCACCTTAGCGCGACTCGATGAGCTGTGTCATGTCCGCTCCTAGGATTCCAACCAATGAAATCCCAGAGTGCGTGAACTTAACCACTCAGCCACGGAGCCAGCCCCTAGACATAGTTTTATTGATGTACACTCAAAGGTCATTGACAACACATTGGGGGAATACATTGAAGCTACAAGTAACAAGAAACACACAGTCTTCCAAACATGAGAAAGGTGATTGTTCTCACATGGAAGAATGGGTCAAGGCAGCTGCTGCACAAGGCAGCAGAGAAACAAACTCACAGGTTCTTTTTATGTCCCATTGGAGATGCCATGGTGAAGCAGGAAAATGTGCTCACTAGCACTATGAACAGCAAAGGTGTTTCCTATACACGTTAGACTTTACTCAATTATCATCTAGGGAAAAGGGGAGTCAGAGAATACTCCCAACCACAAAGGTCTGAATTGGCTTCCTGGTGGACACAAGAGGCCTTACAGAAAGACCCTAACTCGAATGGATCTTTGATGTGAAACTAGTGGAAAATGCATCTCTAACAAAATGGAAATCAACTAATTTCTTGGTGGTTTCCAAGATACTCTTGACAAGAAGGGCAAAGAATCCAGAAAAAGGGATGGAAGGTGGTGTCCTTGAAGCTCCTATGCAACTGTCTCCCTCCCTGTGTGGTGGCTTGAAAATCGGCCTAAGGCCTTGTGTGCTCTGCCTTCCAGATCTCATGCAAGTGAGGCCATTGGTGGATTCCAACAAGGAACCATCAATGGGACGGATTCTTAAAGATCTAGCTCTTCAGATTACCCTCACTGACATAATGCAGTACAGGGGTGATGTGTCCAGCTCTAGATTTTGTTGCCTGCCACAGGCCTCTACTTAATTCAAAGTCTATTCACCAAATACCAGTCAGAAGGAAGGACAAACCGCATAGGCCCAAATACAAAAATAACAATTCACAGGAAGTACACTCTTGGATAAACTTGCCAAACATAAATTTTCCCCAACTGTTTAATAGCACAGAAAATAAAAACAGGCTTCTCCACCCACCACCCCCAGAAAGGAGCTTTCTCTGAAACATGTACAATATGTACAATGGATGAAGCACATGCAGGAACTGTAATACAAGGCCAGTAAGAAAATCACAACAAATACAAACTGTCATTTTTCAATACCCCCTTCACACAGAACAATTAAAACATTACTAAAAAACTAAAGATAAAAAGTTAACTGATTTCAGGGAAATGCACTACCTATGAATCTTATTTACTATTTATGAAGGATGACTAGCAGAATGACCTCACCTCAATATTCATTTCTGAAGTAATTTATAGAAATCCATAGTCTAACCTTGCACTTTAAGAATGGCTTGATAAATACAATATATTTACCACTTTTATAATGACTCTTTCCTGTTCAAAGTTTTCTAGAACCTCATATACAAATTAATTTCCATGAAGCTTTCTCATATGACTTACGTTTACAGTTCTTTTTGGTGGGAGTTTCACATAGAAGGGTGTAGGCCAACTGAAGTCTTTCTCATGCTGTGAACATTCAAGACGTTTTTATCCAGTGAGTCCTTTCATGCCTTCAAGAAAGAAGTGCGATGACAAAAGTCCCAAATTGTTTCTATCTACCTGGTTTTACCTCTAGTGTGTGTTCGTGCATATCCTCAAAAGTTTGCATGAGGCGTCTACTTAATTCAAAGTCTATTCACCAAATACCAGTCAGAAAGAAGGACGAACCGCAAAGGCCCAAATACGAAAATACGAATTCGAGTTTGTTTCTCTGCTGCCTTGTGCAGCAGCTGCCTTGACCCAGTTCTTCCATGTGAGAACAAGCACCTTTCTCATTCAAAGCCTTTCTCACGTTCCTCACATTCACAGGCTTTCTCTCCAGTATGACTTCTTAAATGGACTCGAAGATATCTGGAAGCAGTAAAGGCTTTATTGCATTCTTTACATTCATAGAGCTTGTCTCCAGTGTGAGTTCTTTCATGTTTTCGAAGAGAACTGGAACAAATGAATGCTTTACTGCAGTTTTTATATTCATAGGGTTTCTCTCCAGTATGAGTTCTTTCATGTCTTTGCAGATGAGTGGAACAAGTGAATGCTTTACTGCATTTTTTACATTCATAGGGTTTCTCTCCAGTATGAGTTCTTTCATGAACTCGAAGATAACTGGAGGAAGTGAATGCTTTACTGCAGTTTTTACATTCATAGGGTTTCTCTCCTGTGTGAGTTCTTTCATGTTTTGAAAGAGAATTCGTAGAACTGAAGGCTTTAAGACATACTTTACATTCAAAGGGTTTCTCTCCAGTATGAGTTCTTCCATGTATTTGAAGAGAACGGGAAGAAGTGAATGCTTTACTGCAGTTTTTACATTCATAGGGTTTCTCGCCGGTATGAGTTCTTTCATGTCTTCGAAGATGACTGGAACAAGTGAATGTTTTACTGCATTTTTTACATTCATAGGGTTTCTCTCCAGTATGAATTCTTTCATGAAGTCGAAGAGAACTGAAACAAGTGAATGCTTTACTGCATTTTTTACATTCATGGGGTTTCTCTCCAGTATGAAGTCTTTCATGTCTTTGAAGATTACTGGAAGAAGTGAATCCTTTACTGCATCTTTTACATTCATAGGGTTTCTCTCCAGTATGCATTCTTTCATGAACTCGATGAGAACTGAAAGAAGTGAATGCTGTACTGCAGTTTTTACATTCATGGGGTTTCCCTCTAGTATGAATTCTTTCATGTCTTTGAAGAGAACGGGAAGAAGTGAATGCTTTACTGCATCTTTGACATTCATAGGGTTTCTCTCCAGTATGAATTCTTTCATGAAGTCGAAGAGAACTGAAACGAGTGAATGCTTTACTGCATTTTTTACATGCAAAGGGTTTCTCTCCAGTGTGACTTCTTTCATGGACTCGAAGATAAGTGGAAGAAGTGAATGCTTTACTGCACCTTTTACATTCATAGGGTTTCTCTCCAGTATGAATTCTTTCATGTCTTTGAAGATTACTGGAAGAAGTGAATGCTTTACTGCATCTTTTACATTCGTAGGGTTTCTCTCCAGTATGAATTCTTACATGTCTTTGAAGATGACCGGAACAAGCGAATGCTTTACTGCATTTTTTACATTCATAAGGTTTCTCTCCAGTATGAATTCTTTCATGTCTTTGAAGATAACTGGAACAAGTGAAGGCTTTACTACATTTTTTACATTCATAGGGTTTCTCTCCAGTATGAGTTCTTTCATGCAGTCGAAGTAAAGTGAGATAAGTGAAGGCTTTCCCACATTCCTTACATTTATATGGCTTCTCTCCATATTTTTGAAAGTCATATGTTTTATGTTCAGTGTGACATCTAATGTGCGTTTTAAGGGATGAATGATGCATGAAAACCCTTCCACATGCACTGCATCCCCATGGTTTAGCTCCTGTAGTTTTCTTGTTCAGACTGAGATTTGGAAGAAGGCTGACGTTTTCTTCACACTGACGAGCCTCTTCACTTCCACAGACTCTCCCTACCATATGCTTGCTGTACAAATGAGAAGCACATTGTTAATGATTTCTCTATTCATGATTTTATACTTATGTTTATTACGATTGATAGGAAATGTTTATGATTTCTCCCTTCTGTGAATTCTCTGAAATTAAATATACCGAATCTTCTGGAAAAGGACTTCACCCTTGTTATTATCGAAACAGTGATATTCATAGATAGGGTTCACTAATACTATTTCTAAGTGAAATATTCCACAAAAAGTGAACCTCTACATCACATTTCACAAAGCATATTTGGTGAACATTTTCTAAGAATTAGCAAAATTTGAAGCAAGGGTTATTGGTTTTGTTTGTTCTTTTTTAGAACAATTTCTTAACATACAAGGATTCTCACGTGAGACAGAGCTTTCTATTGCGTGACTCACCTTACTTTTCTCCCCTGGTCTTTGTACTGATCTTCAACATCACAATCTTCCCATGTTACTTCTGAAATGCAGACCCAGAAAGTTTATTCCAAATATTAGAAATTAGACAAAAATTTCTAGATTCTAAGTCTATGATAATCTATGGCCATTTCTACATTATTTACTAACAACCTCCCCTTTCCACATCTACATCTTAGAACACTGATGATGGGCAAGAACCACTTGTTCTCTCATTGATGACGTGAAGGAATGTCCTCACCCTTACCTACTGAGGCCAGGTGCCTGAAGGTTTCCCACATCACATCGCTGTAGAGTTTCTTCTGAGAAGGATCCAGTAAAGCCCACTCCTCTGGGGTGAAGGTCACAGTCACGTCCTCAGTGGTCACTGAGTCCTAAAACACCACAAATGTGTTTAGAGTAGCATACATGAACTTGACAGCACTGGGGATGTATACTCCAATTCTAGGAAGGTTACATGGGATTCTATTATCTCCAAACATTCGTCCTATGTGTGAACATCACAAACTCCCTTTTTTCTGAAGACAATGCTCACCAATTTAACAATATTATGAACACATGGAAATACACATTTTTACTGTGATCACATTCCATCCGATTTCTCTCTAAGAAAAAGTTCCAAAACATATTGGGAAATGACAGAAATGCTATAAAATGAAACAAACATCATTTGTGGACCAACGATTCTTCGTAAGAAAAGTTCAATCATCTTCTTTCACTTTACCAACCGGTTACAGCACTCCATGAGGCAGAGGGTGAAATCTATGGGATGTTTCAGTGAATAAAAACATAGTGAACAAGTGCAAGCTTTTTGTTGTGGTCCCATCACCAAACTGAGAGTCCAGGAGGCCTGTGAAAACACACTTTGATCAAGCCAAGCTGCCCACATTGTCCTAAACCTCCAGGCCATTACACGTAAGCAGATGCAGTTGGCTGAATGTAAATATTGTTGTGGTTAAACAGTGCTTTTAACTTGTGTAATATCTATCATAGACTCAGTTCTACCTTTCTCACTCTGGATGATTTGATGGGGCTGGAATTATTATGAACTGAGAGCTCAGGCACAAGGAAGAAGTCATGAAAACTTAGACCATAAGATCACTATACTTATGGACCTCAAAGCTACTTCTCACCAATTTTAGAACACATTTTTAGGGGCCGGCCTGGTGGTGCAGCAGTTAAGTTCGCACGTTCCGCTTCTTGGCAACCCGGGTTTCGCCGGTTCAGATCCCAGGTGCGGACATGGCACCGCATGGCAAGCCCTGCTGTGGTAGGCCTCCCACATATAAAGTAGAGGAAGATGGGCATGGATGTCAGCTCAGGGCCAGGCTTCCTCAGCAACAAAGAGGAGTGGCAGTACTTAGCTCAGGGCTAATCTTCCTCACAAACAGAGAACACATTGTGAGATAATAATGTGCCACAAGAGCTCTTTCTGGTCAAATGCTAACAGTGTACCCAGAGCTTTGCTCCCCTTGAGGGGTAGGTTAAGAGCTGCAGATTGGGGCCAGCCCCGTGCCAATGATTAAGTTCACGCACTGCACTTTGGCGCCCCAGGGTTTTGCTGGTTCAGATCCTGCGTGAGGACATGGCACCGCTTGTAAGGCCATGCTGAGGTGGTGTCCCACATAGCCCAACCAGAGGCACTCACCACTAAAATATACAACTATTTACTGGGGGGATTGAAGGGAAAAAGCAGGAAAAAACACCACAAGTAGATTGGCAACAGTTGTTAGCTCAGGTGCCAATCTTTAGGAAAAAAACAAAAGAGCTGCAGATTGCAAGGGAGCTCCTTGAAGTCCACAATGGTTTCATGTTAAATTTGCCCATGATTATAAAATACATAAAGCATTTAACAGTGGTTTCCCCAAAAAACATAAAATTTCCTTTGTCCAACTTCAAGGGGAAGTGTTTCCTGACCAGCCACTCTGGATGATGCCCTGTCAACTTCTGATCCTGCACCTAAGGAGCTTAGAAGCTGTCATTCTTGATCTTACAAGAAGAAAATGAATAAACTTGACATGAACCACCTTTCTTAGATCCAGGAGAGCCTTGAGGTCATAGGACAAACCAGAGTCTCCAAACTTGTGAAAGACAAAAAAAAAAAGATGGCGTTTTGAAATATGCCCCACATATTCTGTTCTTAATAAGGCCTGTACTAAAAAAAAAATATGTCTATTTCACCAGAGTCTAATGCAAGGGAAAAATAACAAAACAGGACACAATTTCCATGAAGCCTAGGACAACCCTCTTTAAATGAAGGCTTAAAATGCAGATAATGGGAATACCTGGAGAAAAAGAGACAGAAGAAAACATGAAGTAATAATCACCAAATTACCCTAAAGTTAATGATAGCCAGCACACTGGCCATGCAGTAAGCTCACAGAACACTAAACACGATAAAGTACAAAAGTGCACACCCAAGGGTATCACACTGAAACTAGAGACACATCACAGACAGAGAATGTACTGAAAAATGGCAGAGAAGAAACACACCTTCGACAGAAAGAAACAAAGATTTGAATTAAATTGGACCACTTCTCAAAAACCACGCAACAAGAACAGAGGAGTCTGAAAGAATTAAAGAGTTGAAAATAAAACCCACTTTCCTAGAATTCGGGCAAGCAAAATTATCCTGCAGTACAAAGAAATAAGGACTTTCTGAGACAAAATTTGAGGAAATTTGTCCCAAGTACACATACTTGGAATGAAATTGTTGGAAAGTTTATCAGAAAGAATGTAAATGATAAAGGTAGGGGATTAGAAGAAGAAAAAATGAGGGGACATATCTTTTATGTTTCTTATAATTAATATAACAGATGACACTTTGTTTAAACTAATGTCAGGAAGAATGTATTTGGCAATGAGAAGCTTATGGACAAGAGAAATAAATGACAGCAATGTGAGAAGACACAGGGAAAGGAAAATTGGGGACAGTGTGTTAAGAGGTACTTGCACACGGTGAAGCGGCACAGTGTTACTTGGCAGAGGGGTGGGTTAGTTGTGCATGTATGCTGAAAACTCAAGGACAAAGACTAAAATGTGTTTTTTAAAAAATGTGTAACTGATATGCTAAGAGAGGGGAAAAAAGAATTACAGGAAATGCTCAATTTTAACGAGAAAAGGTGGCAAAAAGGTAGAAGACAAAAACAAACAAGGGTAAAAATGGAAAAACTAAAATTTTGGTAAATATTAATCCAACTGAATAAACAACCACTTTAATCATCAATGGTCTCATTACAACTGAAAGACACAGTAATAGAGTTCAAAAAATACCACTGTATGCTGTCTACAAGAAACCCACCCTAAGCACAAAGTCAGAGACAGATGAAAGGTAAAGGGATGGAGAAAAACAGACCATGCCAACACGAATCCAAAGGAAGCTGCCAGAGGAATAGACATCATAGACAATGCAGATTTCAAACTGAGGAAGATGCAGAGATAGAGGGGCAGTAGGTACTGATAAAGGGGCCTATTCTCTGAGAAGGCACAGCAACGCTGCATGTGTACCTGCCTAACAAAAGAGGGGCAACACACCTCAGGGAGGAACTGATCGAATGCAGGAGAGATAGACAAATCCAGTACCAAAGCTGTAGAAGTCAATACCCCCTCATCAGGAATTAGACATTTCAGTAGGCAGGAAGTGAGGAAGGACAGACGTGAAATGAACAGCACTGTGAAACAGCTGGGTTTCATTGTAATCTATAGAATACTTCACAGAACAGCAGAATATACATTCTTCTCAGGTTCACATGCAACATTCACCAAAACAAACTACATCCTGGGACATAAAGCACACCTTAACAAATTTGAAAGAACAGAAATCATACAAAATAGGCTCTCACACCACATAAGCATTCTTCTAGAAGGCAATACCAGACATAGTTGGAAAACCCCCTCATACACGGTGATTCAAAAATACACTTCTAAATAATACATAGTAGCAAACTAGAAGTCTCAAGAAAAATGAAAAATTATTTTGAATTAAAAACATGAAAACACAAGATAGCAAAGGTTCTTGGATGTAGCGAAAGCAGTATCCAGGGGGAAATTTAAGCCATCACATACAGTGGAAAAATCAAAGATCTCTAATCCCTAATACAAGCATGTACCTTAACAAAGAATAAAGAGAAGAGCAAGTTAAACCCAAAGCAAGCACAATAAAAGAAATAATGAAAATTAGAACGAAATGAATATCATTGTGGGAAATCAATGAGAAAATGAAAAGAAAAAAGCTGCTTGTTTCACAAGACAAATAAAATTGATGAATATCCAGTGAAGATAACAAAGAGAAGAGGGAAGACAGAAATTACTAATATCAGGAAGGAAAGGAGGAGAAATGAATATAAAATAAGATGATAAAATGCAACATCCATTTATGATAAACTAGTAATAGAGGTGAACTTCCACTTCTTGAGAAAGAACATCTTCACAAATCCTGTAGCTAAATTCATGGCGTTTGTTCCATATGATATGACTGTCTCTACGCAAGAACTGGAAGAACTCACAATGACAGAAACAACTCCTGGGATTAAGAAGAGTACAGTAAGTTTGCTCTCCTTCCAGTCCCACACAAATAGAGTCAACCGAACTTTGACACAGAAGGAGATTCAAACGAAAAAGCAAGTATTTTAAACAAACGGGGAGAAATAATGGATACCCACATGCAAACACACACACACACAAAACAAATGTAGACACAGGCCTCACACTTTTCATGAAAATTAAGTCACAACACATCACAGATCTCAATGTAAAATGCCAAAGGAATAAACTCCTACAAGATAACACAGAAGAAAATCTGGATGACCTTGTGTTTGTTGATGAATTTTCACATAGAAAACCAAAAAGCAAGGTACACAAAAGAACAAACCAAAACTTTTACAATTTTAAGTAAAAAGAAAAACTCCTCCTCTGAAAAAGATGGTGTAAAGAGAAGATCAATACCAATTCAGAGTAAGAGAAAATCTCTGTAAAACATTTATTGGATGAATGATTGGTATCTGAAATATGCAAAGAATTCTTAAACTGTAATAGTCAGAGGAAAAAAATGCAATTAAAAATGGGCAAAAGATCTGCAGACAGCTCACTGAAGGAGAGATCTAGATGGGAAATAAGCAATATGAAACATGCTCTACATCAAATGTCATTAGGAAATTGCAAAGAAAACAACAATGGGGATCATGAAACACTTATTAAATTGGTAAAAGTCAAAATATTCAGAACAGCAAACATCAGTGAAGATGCAAAGCTACAGGGACTCCTAGTTCATCGCGGGTAGAAACCGGATTTGGAACATCCACACTGGAAGACAGGAACCTCCTTTCAAAATGAGATACACTGTCACTACATAGAGTAAGAGCCAGCAATCATGCTC